TTGGGATAATCTTTATGTTTACACTTTGTGAATTTTGAATCCCTATGTAACTGGTTGTAAATGTTATCTTATAAACATTCATAAATAGCCAAAAAGTGAAAACGGCATTGCTTTGTTTAATACTGCTATTTTTATCAACATTTTCAAATTTAGGCAACACAATTATGTTCATTCTTAATGTATGGAAAGGATGATTCAATTACAAATATTGTTTATACAAAACTTTAGCATTATACATTCTGCACATTTGATCATATTAAATATTTCTGTATGCAATACTGGCATAATTGAAAGTAATCTTTCACATTTCTCTGTTCTTTTCTGAACATCTTTTTTTTTTTATAAAAAGGGATTGTTTTTCTTCCTGATCTTTATGTTAAATATAAAGATGTAAAAATACATCTTTTTTATGTTAAATATAAAAATGTAAAAATGTATTCACCCTATGTTAGAAATAAGATATGCAAATGTTTCAAATAAGATAACAATTTGCTCAAACTGAAATAGATCTCATTACATGTGTGATTCCATACTGTTTATGAAAAGAATATGATGTAAAGTTTTATTATACCAGAGGGTAGAAAAAAATACTTCAAATGACTATCAAGCACTTGCTACAGGTTAAAAAACATAATTCAATTCCAAAATAAATGATTACCTAAATGGACATTGCAATTCTATTAGGAAAATGTGACTCACTCCTGTAATCCTAGCTACTTGGTAGGCTGAGATCACGAGGATTGTGTTTCCAGGTGAGCCTGGACAAAAAAAATTGTGAGACCCAGTTTCAGTGGAAAAAGCTGGGCATGATGGCATGCCTGTCATCTTAGTGAGGGCAGGAAGCTTAAAGTAGTCCCTACCTCCAAACTAACTGGAGGAAAAAAGGCTGGAAGTGTGACCCAAGTGGTAGAGTACCTGCCTAGAAAGTGTGAAGTCACGAATTCAAACCCCCATGCCACCTAAAAAATTAATTTTAGATTGAAGCAGTGATAACCAAATATATAATCATATCAAAGGTGGTGAAAACATACAGCCAAAAGCTGTTATGGTGGTCAGGAAGGGTCAAGCAAGGAACAAAAAACCAAATAACAATAACAAAAAAAAACTAAAGATGACTTCAATGCTTTAAACTTGAAATAAAAAAAGACAATAAGAAAGTGAGAAAGAAAGAAAAAGAGTGTTGTCTGTGGCCAGGAAAGTGATGACCTTTTACATAAACATTAAATCCATTATAATATGCTCCTTTAAAAAAAAAGTGAAATGTTTGAGATGAATGGATTAAAATGTTAAAACAAGTTTTGAGAATAAGGGTTCAAGAAAAGATAGCAAATATTTTTATTTTACGCTCATAGTCAATTTTATTGAAGCAGTTCTTAAAGATGTTACAATATTTATTTGTAATCCACTGTGTTTGCAAAGCACTGCACACATGGTCCATATTTACTGACAGCAGTCTTGTGAGGAAAATATTAACAGCCTGACAGCTTGCACCGCCCCATCTGGAGCCCACATTGTCTTGCATACTTTTCTCCAGTTGAACTGTTGTAGATCTAGCTCCCTGAACTTAATACGTTACCTCATTTGGTGAAGTCTTTACATAAGCAGTTACTTCTGTGATAAAGTATCCCTCTTCCTCATCCATCTGAAGAACAAAGTCATACATTTATGGTTCTACTACTTCTTCAGAATGTGTTCCCAACCTTTGGAGCACTGATGGGACTGATCAGTTGGCTGACAGACAGGGCCTGAGTACTTATGATTACAGCTAAATTTATGAAAATCGTTTAAAAAATAACTCATGCTATTTGTAGAACATCTACCTTACATTATTAAAGCAATCCTTATCATAGAAAGTGCACACACACACACACACACACACACACACATTTCCTTTATTGAGAAAGACTGTGAATAATTTTGCTTCCATCATTTACATGTTTACTTTAAACAGGGAAGAATGGGAACTACTTGCAGACCAAAAGGATAAGTAGCATAAAAGACATGGAAGAAAATTTGTGTTACTTCCAGAAATTAGAGTTTAGTGTTTATGACTCTAGAACTGCCAAAAAAAGAAGAGAACATTGTTGTGGAATATTTCTTTGTCAAATGCAGTTGGAACAATTCTATGAATCCAATAGGGTCTTTAAATTCCATAAAGATAATAGGGATATAGGGATAGTATGGATATTATTCATGCAAGACCTGGAATTAGCCTTATCATTTTGGAATTTTTCAGTCAAGGTGGGCAAGCAACTACCTGCTTGTTTTTATCCAACCCATCGGCAATAACTTTATATTTTTTAGTAATTGATAAAAATCACAAGAAGAATGTGTTGGGCTACAAGAAGGTTATATAAAATTTAAATCTCAGTGTTTATCTATGAAGAATTATTGGCGTAAAACTATTTCCTTCCTTTACCTGCAGCTGGGAAATCATGGGCTGCCCAGCTAACATTTACTGTTTCGCCCTCTGCAGGAAACTTGCAGACCCTGGCCTCAGATACAGTTTTATTTAAATACTAAATTTTATCTTCATTGCTAACAATAAAGACATCTAATGGATGTCTTTAAAAATCAATTATTGAGTATTTATTAGACACAAAGCATTATTCAGATTCCTGCCCGTGATTGTGGAATCTCTAGCATCAATATAAAAGTTGTATTAATCTAAATGTGGGAGGACTTTGTAATGTTTTCAAATCTTAATTTGTTAGACACTAGAAGGTGTCTTTTTATTACCCAAGAGAAAGCTAACAATAAGCTAAGTTTAAACACACAGAATGACATCTTGATGACTTGTTTTTACACTCAGGCAAAAGTATCTGTTACCAGTAAGAGTTAAGGTCAATTATAAAGTGTTTAATGAGACAAATTTGGGTTTGAATATTTAATAAAACATTATGTATTTAATAACCTTTTCATTGTATCAACTAAAATAACACTATTAACATATTTATATTTATTTTGTAGCCTTTTTAAAGTGCAATTTTCATAAAATTTAAACACAACTTAGAAATTTTTGGATGCTATTTTACATATTTCATATAAATATTTCCCAATTACTTAGTATGGCAGACAGCAACACCATATCATTTTAGTAATATACAAATACTACTTAGTGTGGCAATACTATAAATTAACCACTTTCTCCATTGTCAGACATTTTATAACATTTTCATATTTTTATCATAGTAATAACACTTTCATGAGATTGATGTGGAAATCATATAAGCTAAAGCTTTTAAATTATTCACAAGTCCTGGCAGATATTAATCATTGCCTATATGATAGTGATAATTACTAGTATTGTTTTTATATTATAACTTACAATTAAATTTCTCCTTGGAATTTTTTCATCGATTTTATGTTTTTAGAGTGAACAATTTTTATCTAGTTTTATTATGGCTCACTTCTGAACACATAACTTTCTAAAATGTGTGGAAATAATATTAAAGAATTGAGTATAAAAATTTTATTTTTAAATGAAGGACATAAAGGTAAAACAGGTCCTTTCCAGCAGTGGGTATCAGTGGGAGGAGGAAGAGATAAAAAAACTGTGAAGGACAGTAAGTACGGCGATGTATTTTGTATTCATGCATGAACACAGAATAATGAAACCTGCTGATATTCTTCTAAGAGAGGAGCTATAAAGGAGAATGATGGAAGGGATGAATCTAATGAAGACACATGGTAAGCACATATGAAAATGTCATAATGTATACCCCTTGTACAACTATTGTATACTAATAGAAAATGAAAACAAAGATTATTTTTTAAATTACTGAATCAAATATATCGTACTAAATATATTTTCAATGATTTATGACATCCTCATCATAGAAAACATATGTGTGAGATCAACGAAATCATTTCAATACATGTTAAAATTCTTGAACACGAACAGATTGTTTTCATATGCATCTTTCAAATCTTCAGCAGCAGTGTACCTTATTGCATTCCTTTTATTTTAGACAACAAAACAAAACATTTTACCAACAGTTGGACTACCCTACTTATCAAAACTTTTGTGCAAAGACTGTTACCAGTTTAGCTAAAACAGCAGATGTCCACTGGAAATAATTGCAGAAATATTTTGCTCATTGGCCTGAAATCAAGCATATGTCCTCCTATAGCAACTAAAATATAAATTTCTTTATTGATGTGTTAATTATTGATGACTGTTAATTACAGAGTTATACAGCTGGATTGTCAGACTGATAAACATCCCAGTTTTTTGGGAGGTGGAATTTCCACATTTTTTAACATTTCTAGTAGTTGATATGGAATCTATTCTTAAATAAATAAATTATTTCTTAATTGAACATTGTCCAACATCATGTTTATACAGTGAACAAGGAGAAAAGTATAAATTTAATCAGTGATTGAGAACCAATTTAATATCCCATGGAAAATGCACATTAATGTCAATTGTACAGAATTTTTGTCTCTTTCATAATTTTATTTAAACAATTATGATAGACTTCAGAGCTTTCTGTGCTCTTCTGGTAAAAAAAAAAATCTTCCATTTCTTTCATTATTATGTATTTTAGAAGGAACAATCACTAATGTAGCAAGTCATCATTTTCACCTCTACTCTCAATTTATCCATAGCATTATCTTGTATGCAGAAAATAATAATGTTTATCTAATTTGCATACAAAGGCTTTTGGATGAGCATAGGGTTTCTTTAGTGTAATAGTCAAGGAAAAAAACATTAATCTCCCTATGTACACCTTTACAACAGCACATTTGACAGTGTTTATAACCATTATAGTGCTATAGATAAGGGAAAAAAATTGATGGGTATTGCAAATGTCATCAAGCTTCCTTAAGACTCTAAGCTGAAGAACACATGCATAGCTTGTCTTACAAAAAAATTAAAATAGCAATGGTTCCATATAGTCTTTCAATCTACCTCGTATACTCGCCCATTAAAGCAGGCATTGACTTGCAGTAGTGTGACATAATCTTTGTAGAAATAAAAATAAAGAAAGCCTTACCTTTTGTACAGTAATGATTCCTTCTTGTGTGTCTTTGTCAACAGATATCTTGAAAATCCCCAGTCCATCACCATCCACAATTTTGTATTCCATTTCCGCATTAGCTCCTATATCCGCATCAGCAGCTTTAATTCTGGCCACAACCGAGGCTACCGGCAAGGACTCTGGGACATTATACTGGTAAGACCCTGTGAAATTCCAAACAAGAAAAGAACAAAACTTTGCACTGTGTTCATGTCACACTGGGGTCACCAAGTAACCTCTCAAATTAACTATTTGTTTTACTTTGTGCATAATATTTACTTAATTTGTTTCCATTTTTCAATAAGGAAGATGCTGAGACAATATGAGACAAACTACAAGTTTAAAAAAGCATCAAGAAATTTCATGGTGATGATTCAGTAAAGTGATGGCAGAAACAGATGGCCTGAGGAAAGATGAGTATCGTCATTCTTTTATCTTTAGAAGTGAGAAATATTGTACCTTTGATAATAAAATTTTAAAGTACTAAAATATAATTAATAAAAGCATTAAGTGTAAGCCTAAGTATTTCTGACTAGTTAATGTTAGGGTTGACTTAGTATCTTTTACTAAGGAACTTTTAGAATATTGGGCAAAGAGGTATGTGAATGATAATATCAGTCTTCTTTTAGGTCATAAATTTACCAATGATAGGAATTGTCTTTGTGGGTTTTATGTAGAACTGGTTTGATGTACAATAGTAAATCAGCATGAGCAATATTATTTAAACAACAGCAAATGAGAAACAACCTTTAAAAGCTTTTGCTTAATCTTTGTAATAATTCCTTTTCATCATCCTTCAACTGAAAACGTAAGTTTGAAAGACAGATTAAGATTTAGGAAAATCCTCAGAACAATACTCTCCTTCACTATTTTTCTGTAATCATTTCCTTTTTCATGCCTCCTGACCTTATTCCATTTCCCTGTGTTTGTTAAATTGTGGCACATTTGTACTTTTTTATGCGAGAAGAACAGATTCTCTGAGAGAAGTATAGACAGGAAAACCTATCCATTTGAAGGCACTGCTTTGCAGTTTTCGGCTGAGGCGTGTTAGCAATTATCTGAAGATTGGGAATAGTTACTGTCCCTTTTTAAAGTGATTGCAATATATGCTTATTATTCCGCATGAACTCTTTCAGACACATAGGACTGTCCTTTGTAAAACTCAAAAATTTCAAGGTTAGAATAATAATTAAACTGGAGAAAATCCAAATAAAAATGAAAAAGTTAATGGCAGATCCTTGGTTTTCTTCTCTCTAATATGTAGGAAAGTATTTCATAAGCTAAAAAACCTGTGTCTGCCTTAGCAAAGCATGAGAACAGAAGCTAGGAGAACTTTAAGCATCAATTCTTATCCTCTCAGGTCTAAAGAAAGGAGAAGCAATTAATTTTATTATGAGCCCAAGATAAGTACATTATTACTTTTTCAAAACCCCCCATTTTATCCCTAGGATAAACCCTTCAGAACACAATTGAGAATAGGCTGATTTGTTTTAACGATAAGCCTGAATCTCTTTTCTAAATGGCTAGGAGGTCTCATGATGTTTGTTGCACATTGACATAAATATTAAAATTGTAAAATAAAGTGAAATATCTACAGAAGCATTATTTGAAAGAAAAATAAGGGCTCTCATAATTGCTCATGAAACTTTCTTGTTTGCTATTATTTGCTTATTTGTAAAAAATTTACACTTCAATTTCTATTTGACTCGATTTTTGATACATTATAGGCTGTACAAGTTTTTTTGGTTTTTTTTATAATTTCAAATAAATCCCAGCAGTACATCAAAAAATAGGTCATCTAAAAAGAGAATGAGAAGAAATGCTTCTTACAGACAGGATACTTCTACATTGAGAACATTTTTCTGTCTATTCTTGGATAAGTCAAAAGCCGCTTTGGTCAAAGAAGATGAATTAAGATTGAAAGCCTGTGGTTGTCTGGTCTTTTAGACTGATTTCTTTTGAAATACTGAATATTTGTACAAGAATGATGTGGATAAGCTGCCAAAGGAAATATTATCATGAACTGGGTAAAAACTATGAACTGACTATGTATGAAAATACTACCATTAATCATATTAGTCTTTAAAACTAATATGAAGTGATGAATAAAATTATATGTTACCCTTTTCTTTATCAAGCAATACTTTTAGTGTGTAAGAGCTGATAAAGTACTTGCCAGCAACTTCAATAATTCAGACTGCACAAAAAAAACTGTCTAAGATAAAAGACTAACACATAAATAAAACTAATGTGTGTCTAGCATTCAAAGCATAAACAAAAGAAAAATTCCTATTGTTTTTAAGATAGAAGTAGTAACTACATAAAATGGTTCTATTTGTCTTTGATAGTCCTTACAATTCCATATTACAGAGTTAAAATTATGTTTCTGAGAAAATGTAATTTTGGAAGAGTCAGGAAAAGAATTATTTGCTAAAGAAATATTTGAAAAAAATCACTTGAATGATATTTTTATAGACTAGCAAGGAAAATTATTAACAAACAAAACACTTACTTCTAGGAAAGCGAGGTGGGTTATCGTTGACATCAGTTAGCGTCACAGTGACTGAAGTTGTCCCTGACAGTCCGCCATTTTGCCCAACCATATCCTTTGCCTGAATGACAAGCAAATACTGGTCTTTAGCCTCTCTATCCATGTTTGGAAGGGCGGTCTTGATGACTCCTGTAAGATTTCAAATCCCAGTAAAACCCATCATGAATCACTGCATTTACACTAACAATGAACATTGAATCAAGTATAATTTACCCTTCAGTTGTTTTGTTGTTTTATTTATATTTCATGGTTTTAATGTGCATTGAAGACCAAAGATATATTATACTTGTATACAATATTATTATACAATAAAGGAAATGATATATTTGGTTTTTCTTAACATTGGATTTAGAGACCTGCCTTTAAATTTCATACAAACATTATATAAGGAAATAACAATGCAGAAATAAATAAAGAGGACCTTTGATCTAGAATAAGAAGATGTCTATTCAAGTACATAACACTGAATTTATCTTTTCCTTCCCTTTCATCCATTCTAGAAACTTATAACAATTTATTATTAATTACCATGATTTCAAGTAACATGTCATTGTTAAGAAGCTACAGTTTTGTTTAGGACTACCACTGCCTGTCAAACACAAACACACAAAGATAAACATACATATCAGAAATATATCTATATGTTAAGCACTTAAATCACACTTATTTAAATAACTCAGTTTTTTCTCACCTTTCTAATACACTACAATTGAGGCTGTGCTACAATCACAATGACGTAGACTAACACCTTCCTCTAATCATTTTGCCTGTTTATTCATGTCTAATAACTAATCTTTGAAATATACAGTGAAAATGGAAAAAAATGCCTCAGTCAGCAAGTCCACTTGTTATCTATAACATAAATATAATTTTCAGAATCATAATGACTATATGAATATTTCATGTTTCTTCTCAGTATTTATAATTCTAGCTTATAACAGGTTTCATTAATACTGTCTTCAATCATAAATGATCTCTGCCTGAGAGTTCTGGAACTTACATATCTTTATCCTTTCACTTATTTCTTGTTTTATTTATTTATTTGCTGTTAATCATTTTCATGCAACTCTTTTAATTTAAACATGTTTAGTCTAGCATTACATTTCATCTATAGAAAACATTAATAAGATGAACTATTTTAGAAAAATGTCCTACTTTTTCACTTTTTCATTTCTCTTTATCTCTATGTTTTCTTCTGATATCAATATGGGTCAGGGAAGTGTTTTATTTTCAAATTTACTGTGATGGAGAGAAGTTCACAACATTTCAAGTAAGCAGCCAAATGAGCACAGCAGCCTCCTCCTCTCATAGTTTTGTTTAGTGAAATTTTTTTTAAAGAAAATACAGCATCATGGGGATAAAAGTCTGGTAATCAAAGTTACTTGCTTATTTTTCACACCCCTAATTATCTCTTCCTAAGTTCTTATAAATAACACTTTTCCTAAGTTAAAATCATCACAAAGTTTGCAAATGATTGCAGGTGGCAAAGGTAATTTCTAAATATCTCAACTACTGAACATTTTTGAACAGGAGTAGAATAATTGGGGAAAATTTAATTTAGATAAAGTATTCATACTTATTATATAGTTATTTATACAGAGCAAACTGCTAACACTATGTCCTCTGAACTGTTAAAGCCAGTGTTGTAGTCTAGTCTTAATGGGATCCCTGTAATCCATGAGATTTTCACAAAAGATAAAAATTATTTATGTTGACAATCAATAATTTTAAGCCATTTACAATGAGGAAAACATATCCATTAAGCCATTGTTAAAAAGATTCTTGTTTCAATTTTATGATTCTATGTCTTTAAAATTTTTTAACTGATACATAAATCATAAAAACTTATACTGAGTTAGATTTTCTCTACAGATGTATCATTTCAATCACTCAAAGCCTACCACTTCTTTATAAACCATGTCCAAAGAAAATATTGCACATATAACACAATTATTGTTTATTAGTCTAGGAAAAATGTTTAGCACTGTCCTGCAAGGCACTGGTGATATTTATTTGTTTGTTTGCTTTATTGTTGTGCTGGGTGGGGGTACATTGTGGCATTTACAAAGGTTCTTACAATGTAGCACATTGTGGTACCATGACATCTTCTTATAATTTTGGTTCATTTACCATGTGCAGCAGAAACGTTTCTGAAACCGTCCACAGTATAATGAACCACTCGTTGGAGCCTAAGGCTTTGAATGTCTGGACAACCACATGAACCTTAGGAGCACAAGACACGAGGAATTCATGCTGTGAAGGTTTAATTCATTGGGATCAACATTTGTGATATCACTTGAGTGAATTAATGTCCCAAAGGGAATCACAACATTGAAAACCCAGCTTTCTCAGGGATCTAATAAACTGAGGAAAGATTTTCTTCTAACGTGGAAGGACCTGTGTTGTCTGCACTCACAAACTTTGGAAACAATTGGTGTTCCCCACTTTTCATTTCAAACTTTGTTTTCTATAGTCACTTAAGAGTTCTAAGACCATAGAATTAAGTGTCAGAGACATCAGTTTCCTCATGGCTTCTATTTATTTAGTAACACGTGTCAGAGGCCTGGGTGCTGCTGGCTCATGCATGTAATTCTAGCTATGTGGAGGACTGATTAGAGGATCATGTTACCAGGTCAGCTTGCAAAAACGTTTGCCAGACTCCCTTCTCAATGGAAAAAAGGTAACAGCAGTGGTGAGCACCTGTTATCTCAGTGACAGCAGGAAGCTTAAAATAGGAGAATTATGGTTCAGTCCAGACCCCATTTCCAAACTAACCAGAGCAAAACAGGCTAGAGGCATGGCTCAAGCAGTGGGGTACCTGTGTAGTAAGAATGAAGACCTAAGTTCAAACCCCAATAATACCAAAAAAAAAAAAAAAATTAAACACATGTCAGGAGGTGAGGACCATGAATTAAGTGCAGTTTCCTGGTGCAGTATTTGTCAAAAAGGAGCAGGGAGCAGTCAAACCTTGAGAGTACAAAACCGAGGTAGACAGGAAATTTTGAACACAAGAATAAAATAGTGAAAATCTATATTATTTCTCTATCTGCTTTGCTTTAATTGGATATTATGTCAGCTCTCTTGGTATCTGCTTTAAAGATTATAGCTTGTGTGTGAGTATGCATCTATAAATGAGATCAGTAGATGTAAGTGACTAGGAACTGGGTTTGTATTTATATCCCTCATTCAGTTTCTACCAATATACATAATTAATATTTCAAAATTACTCAGTGATGCTTCTTATCAGCATGAGTCTCCTCAGTGTCACATTATATCAATGAGTTAACACTCACATAATATTTACAAACAAAGTGAACACTCAGAAAAGAATTCCAATGCAATGTTTTGCTAGTAAAGAGGCAACTGATATTTAATACAGTATATTAGGGTGTTATGTTACAGGTGAGAAGTAAGTATTTTCTATGTGCATTCAGACTGGTCATTTTTGTGAATTCAAAGTACCAAACGCCACCTTATTTTCAGAGGAGAGCTCCTGCCGCAATGCTTCATCATAGTCAATCCAACAACTCATTCTCTGATGAAGCATAGTCATAACCACTGAAATTTAAAAAGAATCTTAAAAATCAAAACCTTGTAGTATAAAGAGTTATTTAGAAAATAAATCAGAGGGCAAATGAAAAAAATAGGATCTAGCCAAACATTCTTAGGTATGTATACTTTTGAGTATTGGGAATTGCATTGGGAAAATATACTGGTTTATGTATGAAAAGCTATTAGGTCTACGATCTAGTGAAATTTTGTATATTTCTCTGTAGATTTACAGAAAGGAGACAGACTAGGGTAAGCAACAGACTTTCTTACAAGTAGAGAAACTGTGGCATGATGAAATAGAGCCTGAATAAAGCAGTTGCACCTTTTGAGGAAAACAAGCATTCATGTATCTTAAAAGCTACATTTCAAAGTAATTTAGAAACGAGAATGAGCATAAGTATTTAAAGATTGTTTCTGCTTTTAAATATACTTTTTAATGATAATGTTTCCAATACTAAAATGTTAATTATGATTTAATTTCACAAAGTAGGCAATAAAACAAATGTGGTAATTTTATTACTGATATTTATTATTGGATTTCATCAAATATGAAAAATATGCATAGTTCTGGCTCTTTCAAGCAGACTGTTGCTCCTAACTGTGAAAATTCTTGAGGGTAAAAATATAAATGAAAATCACATAAATTTTTGGATATTCATTTCATTTGCTCATAAGACATAAAATGTGAATTTCTTCCTAATAAGTCTGTATTTCTCCCTAACTTTTTTCATCTAAGATCTGTATTATTTGGTTATTCTATTTGTAAATGTAACATACAATAGGAACAAAAAATACAGAGAACAGCCAGCAGTAAGAGTTGAATATTTCTAGAAGATTAAAGTCAATAGCTGGAGCAAAGGAAGAGTCAAGATTCAAGAGGAAGGGACTTTTCTTGAACTCTGGGGAGGGGGGCATCCTCAGCAAAGGTGGACAGGAGCCTATGCCCTCCCATAGCATGGAGCGACCCTACAGAAAGTAATGTAATTAATGGCATCAGAGGCTGGGGTGATTTCTGATGATGATATTACCTGCATAAAATTATGATAAAGTCCACATGCAACATACAACACAGGCACTTTTCAGTCACAACTAGTGTTAAGAAAGTATTCCTAAGTGACAAGTAATCTTTAATACTGAATCTGCTTTCCAGAGTAGGCTTCATGTGGTGGAATCTGTCCAGTCAGACTGACCCCATGCTTCATTTTAAGTTTCACTGATGAGATTTTTGCAGTCCTTAATTTAAACCAAGAGCTGTTCTTTTCATTTTGAAGTGCAAATTATTTAAAGGTTCTATCATTTATTACCTAGAACCTTTAATAAATAGAATCTATTTACTGATAGGTTAAAGAGCAGATGAATAAATCCTGAGACAATCCTCTCTTCCAGTAACTTTGTGGATGTTATGAAGATGGGAGATGAAATTCTTCTCAGTCTTTTTACCACTTTATTTCCTTGTTGAAGCAAATTGTCAACATTGGTGGTTGCTACTGTGGACATTCTGGTTTTGTGGAAGGAGAAATTAAGGTAGGAAATACAGTTTGTCTCTGGTCACTTGGCCTGGAAACAGAGCTACAGAGGGACTGACTATGTGCTCTGGTGCTTTAACTAGGCGACTTTTTTAGCAGTTAAACAGACTTACAGAAGTGCACCTAATAGCGATTGCCTGGGCCTATTTTTACTAATCTTTATTTAGCATATTTTCAACATTTTTTCCTGTCAAAGTTTCACTTTATTCTTTAAAATCCCTGGGTTTGGAGAAGTGGAAAATAATGTTATTTCTTACATTGATCAGAAACAGATTGACACCATGTAAGGAAGACTAACTGAACTTGACTTACAGCTCTCTGTGCCCTGGAGGCTGAAAACTTTCCATTTTTGTCAGAAAAATACCATTCATTTCTTTTTTCAAACAGTGTATACTATGCAGCATGAATTAGCTGTGAGGATGCAATGTCTCTTCACTATGAATGTACAGATGCAAGTCTTAATAATTACCATGGTTACAGCACTTAAAACTAAACTTTCTTCATCTTCTGTAATATAGGATCTTTAGATTTGGAAATTCAAATAAAGTTTATGGAGCTAAGCATGGTGCTGCATGCCTGTACTCCAAGCTATTCAGGAGGAAGAGGCAGGAGGATCTAGAATTCAAGGGCAGCCAAGTCCAGGCAAATTTAGGGAGATGATACCTCTTTTTTCTTTTATTGTATTATTGTTATAGTGGGAGTACATTGTGACATTTACAGAAGTTCTTACAATATTTCACAGTTGAATTCACCCCCTCCATCATTCTCCTTTATTCCCCACTTTCTCCCACTCTTGGAAGAGTTTCAACATGTCTCATTTTTTCATTTCTATACACAAGTACATAATATTTACAGTACACTCAGTCAGAAAGGTGCTACCTCTTAAACAAACAAACAAACAAAAACCAAAAGATCAGGAGGCGTGGCTTAATATTGCCTAAAATTAAGTTTACTATTTAAGTGGTAGAAATAAAATCCCAAGACATATGCTATTGGCCAGTTGATTGATCAGTGTGCTTTTGCTTCTTCAGGGTTGTAGGAAAATTCCACAATCTTTCAGCAAGACTAAAAATCACAAGCCAATCATTAGTAGCAGCAAAATATTTAACCCTTGAGATTAGTACATCCTATTTTTGGACAAGTTACATAATGCAAGAGTGTATAATTTGTAAGAAAACTGTCAGAAACTTGTCAATGTCTTTCTAGGCTGAAAAAAGTAGATATAAAAGGCAAAGAGTGGGTGTTTGAATTTAGGTTTCTCAGATCTATCAAGTCAAACACGAGTACATTTTCTACATTCACAGACTTCATATTATAAATCAAATACTTTCATTTACTTCTCCTTCAGTACTTTATTAATCAGAACTATTTCCTCTCTATTAGACTTTCCAGGTGGTTTCTCAACTCTACTATTACATTGCTATAAAATATGTAGGGCAGTCTCTGTGAAAGTTCTAATGAATAAGCTAGGATTGGAGTTACATCTCTGTTCATGCACATAACAAATATTGTTTCCAAAGACAATTGAAATATTTATCCCTGCAGCATTTTGAGAGTGAATTACTAATGTTCTTTTTGTAAATGCAGAAAATAGAATGAATGCCATTAATACATTCACTTAGAATCATGGGTGGTATCAAATATTCTTTATCATGCATTTACAAAATACTTGGAAGAATTCTGCCCCATGATAAAGACAGAATTGTTTTTAAATAGAGATTTTTTGGATTTTCATGGTGTTAAAAAAGCCAATGGAGCACACTCAGTACTATTTACTCCTCCCATCCTTACACACACAGAATCATAAACGCCAAACACATCAATCAATTTATAACAAATAATAGTGTTTTGTACTTAAAGTATTTCACCTTAAAAGTAAAACATGACAGACCAACCACGTATTATATTCATCCAGTTTTATAACTCATGCAAAATTTTCCCTAAGAGTAAGAGATAACAATTTTGATTTTGATTTCCTGTATCATTATCTTCACTGCTTTATCTATCACTGAGAACCAGCCTTTACAAGGACAAATTGAACCTACTGTCTACTCTACTCCATGGAAGAGAGGCTCCCGGTTGAGTTTCAAATTTCACTATGCATAATTCCCTATAGGAGTTCATGAAAGAAAATAAAAATAAAAACTAGTGGTAAATAATCAAAATTTTCATATGAAGTCAGTAGACAGTAGCTGAAATACATTTGAAGGTACAGCATTTTTTATTTTTAGGAATAAACATAATTGTCATAAATTATTCTCAAAAAGGTCTAAGCTCCTTTATAACATGCCGATTTTATCAAAGTTGACATGCTGAGAGAACCATTATAAAGTACTGTCTGTAATCAACTATGATCCATAGACAATAACTAACATTGACTTTAGTCAATGATGACTTCATAGGGAGTGCCACTTTCAGTTTTTACCTGTCTTTGGTTCCACTGAGAAGTAGGGTTGTCCTTGCAGAATGCTGTAGACAACACGAGCACTATTTCCATAAGTAGGGTCATCAGCATCTGTGGCTGTCACTTGTACCACTGAAGTCCCTAGGTGACAATTCAGAAACCTCTGAATTAAAAACTTCCAACTGCAACAATGCAGAACCCAAAAACTATTGCAGATTCTACATTAGCTTGTTTGTAATTTTTAATTTGTCTTCTTCAAAAACAAATGAAAAACTGATTTAATATTTTTGCTTTATCAATCCCAAAGAGATAATAAGTGCCAATAAAATACTTGAAATAGGGGACATGCAAATATTTTGTCAAAAAATAACATTAATGATTCATGTTAGGCTGAGATCAACTCAGAAATGGATGGGACTGAAATTTTAGGCATCTCAGTCATCAAGGTCAGGTAGTAGCAAGTTTTCACAAGAGCCATCCCTGCGAGATTCAGTTGCTGTCCTGAAGGCAGCCTGGGAGGTAAAAGAGTGTCAGACACTAGAATTATTGACACTATAATCACTCTACTTGTTAAGTAGAGCCAGACAGAAACTGGAAGTTCATTTTTACAGAGAGAGAATATTTGATACATTTATCTGGACATAAAGAAGCTGCTCTATCTCCTTGATAACTATTTAATTTATTGATATTCACTTAAAAATATAGCATTAAATAAAAAATTTAACTAAATATTCACAAAGGAAGAAAAGCATGGGAACTTAAAAATGGCACCACCAGTTATTTTCCTGTATTTCTTGCCATATTGTGTCTTCATTGTACTATGCTTTCACTCATTCAATATGAAAAGCATTTTTTCTAATCTGTTCCTTTTAATTTCCATTTGGAATGTAATGTTGAAAATATTACAAAGACCCATGTTTGCTTAATTGATATATTCATGCACACATTGCCACATAGTTCTTTGCCCTATATGATGGGTAAGGGGAAAAGCATCCCCTTTTATGTATTCTTTAAGGTCTTAAGATGTTTTTTATAATTTCCTGAATATGTTACTTTATTTTGGTGGTACTTGGGTTTGAACTCAGGGCTTTGTGTTTACAAAGCAGGCACTCTACTGCTTGAGCCACATCTCCCATCCTGAATATGGTACTTTAAAATCTCACATCATTGTTAGATTTGTTTTGGATAGAACTTTTTTTTCTAAATGTCTTAAGTCATCTAATGTTTGTTTTGTTGCAAATGCATTCCATTTGTCATATTATGATTTGATTTAACTCTTCCACTTTCTTTAATATTGAGTAGAAACTATGAAGTTATGTTCATCACATCATTTTTTGTAATCCTTAAGTTTATTTTTGATGTACTGAAATGATTATGCCTTGTGGATGTCTGGTAGAATCAAGATGGTGCTTGACGTACATTTTTAAATCTTTGAAGCAAGTAAATTTAGAATATTTCTAAACGTTAAGATAAATTTGTAAATTGCATTCATGATTTTATTGTTATCTATGATGCAGTATCTTTACAATAGTATTTATGATGGTTATATGATTGAATATTGATTTTTAAACAAAATAATGGAAAAATAAATTTCAGTAAATTTGATTTTATGTAACAATACACTTTTCTTGAAAGGCTAGGTAATTTAATGTATATATAATAAGTACATATACATACATATACTCATATTTGCAAATAAATATCAAGTTTCCATGCCTATTTATGCCATTGTAGCAATGAATAAACTGTCCAAGTGGCTGGTGAATGCTTTTTAAAACATAATTATTTAATATCCAAAAAAAAAATCTCTGAATATTAAGCACTGAAACCTTGCATTGGATATATCACTTTATTTAGTGCCTGTTATTACTAATTGGTGAGAATTAAACATTTTATTAAATTTTGACTCACTGTAAGTCTATATAATACATTTTATATTAATAGCTATTGTACTAAGTTTGAATTCTTATATCATCTCAGTGACTTAAAGTAGTCAAGTAAATCCTAAAGATTTTTAAAAATAATTTTGTAAAAAATTTTAGCCTGTTAGAACCAATTAAGTAAATAAAAAAACTCACATGTATTTATAATAATTATGCTTTATAATAATAAATTTGTACCATCAAAATCAAAGCTACATTGCATTACTTAGCCTCTAAAACAAAAAATTCAAATATACCTGATTGCATAGCTATACTCTATGAAGGAGAGAAAAAATTAGCAAGCCAGTGAGGAATATCAAAGATATCCATGAGAAGTAGATGAATGAAGGTGAATCAAATTGCTCAAATATACCTCAGTGATTCCTGTTTTACAGAACAGCACTAATTTGGGAAGGAAAATATGCTTTCTCTTTTTTCTAAAACCTGCAAATTCTTATTGTCACTGCCGCTATTTTTGTTAAGTAACAATAGCAGGAAATACTCTGAAGGATGGGCAATGTTGAGAAAGCACGAATATGTCTGACAACCACAGAAATGCTGACATACATGCCTTCACAAGATTCTCCTTCTGAGGTTCAGGAGTTTGTATGACCACAAGCATCGATTCATCTGTCTCATTTTCATTTTCTGTTTCTCTAAAACCTAGAGAAATAGAAACTTTTCCTTCTCCCATCTGATAAGAATAGAAATTTAGTCACTAAATTGTGATCCCCTAAGGAGCACAGATAATGTACATCTTTACAATCCTACTCCCCAATGCTGTATATGTGTTGACTGAATGATTAAACAAATGAAACAACCTTTATTTAAAATGAAACAAATAATATTAGCTATAATGCCCATACACTACAAAACAAGTTCCAGTATTTTTTTTTTAAAACTTCCTTCTTCAATACTGAAAGCAACAAGAATTGAATATATAAATCAACTGGCTTGTATTTTAGACATATATTATTGCATAAAATCATCCACACTTAAATTTCATACTCACTATAGACTATTCCAGAAGTAAATGGAATTTAAATCATACCTTATATTATTTGGTATAATGTACACTCTAGTTGGGCTTTACTTGCTATTTCCCTAGTAACAGGGAAATGCCAAAAGGCTTTTGAGTAAAACAGTTTTCATCATTTTCTTATACATTTCTAACTAAGTATCATTATAAATAACTCACTAATCAATATTCACTTGGAGAAATTACAATAAGATTAGTGATAATATATGATGGATTTATGAGTTCAAATAAATTCAATACAAGTAAACAGATCAATCACACAGATGATAATCTGGCTAGCCACTGATTGAGTTCTGGCTACATTGGTAATAGAGTAAGACTAAAATTAATCAATAATTGCCCTAAGGCCATATAAAGAAGAATAAAAACCATCACCAGACTGTGTCTGGATTATGTTTTTTTTTTTTAATTTCTCAGTCATAACTGTAATCATACTTGAAATCATAAAACAAATGAATATTAAATTGAAAAGGAAATGGACATATAATTTCTTAAAGACACTAAAATATCTATGTATCCACAAAAACTTAAAATGTAAAAAATATTGTCTAATTTTCCATATAAGTAAAATAATGTGGGCATGAATGAGTCTGAGCTACCAGCATCTCTCAAATTTCCCCTTCATCTTAACTGATAACTGCTATACGTAGACTAATGTGTTTTTTTTCTTCTGTACTTGGTGACAGATTAATTCAAAATACAAACCATATAAAATTAGACACTCACTACAAAAGCAGCACACTTGTTACTCACCCACAGGAGACATTTCTGGAACTCCTGCTGTGTACGGGCCATCCAAAAATTTGGGTTCATTGTCGTTGATATCCTGAATTTTGATAACAAACTCGGACTCAGGCTCCACTGGTTTATTGGTAAGCCTGTCCAGCGCTTGAGCTCTGAGTGTGTAGTAGGCCTGCTCCTCTCGATCCAGTCTCTTGGTAGCATGAATATCCCCTGTGTTCTCATCGATAATGAAAATGGAACTTGCCCCTTCGCCTGACAAGATGTATTTGATGGAACCATCGCCTTTATCAACATCAGAGTGAAGCTGGTGAAAAATTCATGTGAGATGAGATTAACTTACAAGAGAGTCAGCGATACGGAGATACGTAAAAAATAATTCTTACGTCAGACAGCGGTACATGAAATTTTATTGTTCTTGGAAAGATAAGCTGAATGCTTATTGTGCCCAGCAGAAAGGCTATTAGAATGTGTCATCTTGCACTTGAGAGCAAGGGGATTTCATTTCTTCCTGTAAACAGTCTCATTTCCAAAGGTATTGCTATATCATTCCTAAAGGACCTTACTGGAGTGTTACTTTGGCTTTGGCCTGTCCTTGCCAGTTCTAGCTATCTTCTTTGAACTCAGCTGACATTTAGTAAACATGCATAATCCATTGACTGGATTTTGTTCATGCTAGGGGATTTTTCTATAGAACATCTATACATTTAGTTCTATTATAATATTCAATTTGCTTATAAATGCCCACACTCTTGAGGTGCCCTTGTCTCCCTCTCCTTGGCCCATCCCCTGTCACCCACCTTTCTGTGATTAACCAATGCGAACAGATGTACAAAAGCTGCCTCCAAATTCTATGTTGTATTTTAAAATTTGAAGCTGAAAAAAACTGCAGTGCTCTGTAAAGTAGGAATTTTAAATCAATCCATGCATGGGACTTCAACTAAAACCTTTCTTGAAATACCAAGACCTGCATTAGATCTGCATGATTAACTCCAGCGTCTACAGCAGGACTGGCACCTACAGATTTGCATTTCATATCTGGAACTGTCTCTGCTGTATGTCAGAACATTATGTTGAAGAGAGTTACCTTAGGAAACTCAGAAATAATTACACATTTTCTTGAACTTCATAACCTGAGACACACTAGTCAATCTGTCATTTCAACAACCTTTCATCCCCTATAACTGCCATCATTCTGGACATGGGTTAATATGAACGTAAAAACCCAATTTACCAAATAACAAGGCTTTTCTGTGCCCTACAGAATTATATTTGCATTTTTCAAAAGATAAAGTGCTGAAAACATGAAATATGGAAAACCACTTCTCTTCTTTCTCTGGTACTGTGGAGGAAATGGCTTTTTGCACACTGCCCTATCACCCCAGTGTTTATATTCTGCTTGGGGCACTTGAATATCTGATTTATCCTTTGATTTCTGGAGGTTTTTAGTCAAACTAAAAAATACAACATATGACATTCTAGCCATGTTAAAGGTTAACTTTACCAGTATCTATTACTTGTGCTGTGTTCACCTCTTATACCAGGAAGGTGTGTTCTTAAACTTCTATGAATTACTTACTTTTCTCAAGTCTTTCTCAGGTTTACTATTGCATATGTGTCTCCTAATAAGAAAGAAAAACTGTGACCAACATTACACTTTGCATTATTGAGGACTCCCTAGGAATCAGTATATTATTGTTCTCTACATAGTACCTCATTTAATATTCATAACTGCCCTTATTATTGTTATTAACAAATGAGGAAAATGAGGCAGAGAAAAGCTAAGTACCCTGTTTGACATCACCTAGCCAACTCCACGGCAGCACCACAATTTAGCAAATGGACCGAATGGTATAAGGCCCAGCTCCAAACTCCTTGCAATGAGACCTTGTTTCCGTGATGGGAAGTGCCGTCTTCTGTGAGTAAGGACATTAAGAGTTAAGAGTCTCTACGAAGGAGAACATGGGGAAATGAGGGTGCCTGAAATCAACATGCACCTGATTACTCTCCATATCTTCAGCTCAATGCAATGGGGATTTTCCATCAATGCACTTTATTACTTACCAGAAGAGTCCGTTTTGTCATCACACAACGATAAACTCTACCACTTTCAACAATACAAGTCAAAATACTGGAGTCCTGAGACAAATGCAGAAGACATACACAAGTACATTGTTTTTAAGCTGCTCCTAACATGCCCTCAACTAACTTTTCAACCTTACTTTCCCAACCCTGCTTTCATTTGTGTTCATATGGGACAACACCTTTGGCAACTGGTCCATGTGCATCTGATGACATGGTATGAAACACAGTAACAGCCACATGACCATAAGAAATATCAGCAATACATGAGTTGTGTTTTTAATCAGAGGTTTTCTCTCAATCACATTCAGGACTCTCACTTTGAGAACAAATCCATATGATTCATTTAACTAATTCCTGTTAACTGATTTTTGTTTGCATGGCATGCTGACAGAATGCCCTTGTGGTATTCTAGACACAAGAGAAAAGATACAGTTCTTGTCCATATAAAGCACACGTTAAGTCCTGACTGTGAGCTTCAACTTGATCTCTGATGCTGTATTTTGTATTAAGGTATTCTTAGTTGTCTTCCCTTGCTGATAGCATAGAGCTCAAGAGTAAGTTCATCCTATTTGATTACATATTCATTCAAGGATCACATTTCTTGTAGTACACACCCTCCCCTGACATAGACATATATATACATATCCTTTGTCGGGAGTCCTGCACTTTGCAAATCCCCTATCACTGACAGTTTTTTCCCACCTGGTACCGTTGATAGGCTTATTATCATCAGCAAAACTCACAAGCAGAAAATTGCCCAGAGTCCAAACTCTAGATCTTTGCAAGGTTGGTGTAAGAATCTGTGCTTAAAAGTGATAACCAACTTCAGAATAGTAGGGTTGATTCATAATTATAGGACACTTTCAGACATTCAAACTGTGAGGCTATGTGCATTATACTAATCTTAATAGGTGTAGTAAAACCTATACTGTTAATGAAAAATTCCTCTCTCTCTCTCTCTACTGAAAATGAATGCTCAGCAAAGAAGAAAAGTGTTCCAGCTTAGAAATAGCAAATGGAATTCTTAATTTGACACATATCTATGTAAGTGCATATACAAACATACAGACACAGACATCTGTGAGTAATAAATGGCTATTATAAACAACCTCAGACGTGTTATGACACACAATGAAAACCTATGGCCAAGAATGTCTAAGATCAACCATATAGTAAATGAGTAAGTAAAAATGAAAAACACAACCCAAGACAAGTATTTGTAATCCATGTGGGGCAGAGTAGAATCGTCAATATTATGTCTATTATACTTACAAATATCCTTGTAAATGTGATTCTTACTCTAAAGAATAACTTACCCCCAAACATTCTCAATTCATTTATCATCACACAAAACTCATCTTTCCGAAATTCTTTTCAAAGTATTTCTGTGAACCCCAAAGTGAAGATTTACATTACATTAAACACTGTTTTCAAATGAGCACAAAAAGTGAGGAAGACAGGATGGTGAGTCTATCTAATGATGATGCAACAGTAAGTACAGCATGTGCACATATAAAATCAATCCCTACGTCCTTATGCTCCAAACACAGGAAAAACAGGTTTTTCGACCGAGGTCAGAAATAAGGCAACGACACCTGCTATCTGCATTACTATTTAAGTGCATTAGAAATACAGTAAAATCAATTAGGTAAGAGAAAGCCAACAAATAAATACAAACTTGGAAATAAGGAAAACTTTATTTGCAGGTCATGGAAAACCAAAGAGATTCAATTTGGAAAAAAAACAAGAATAATAGAGCAATTCAAAAATTTAAAAAAGAAGATAAATACAGACACAATTATTATGTGAATCAGATATATACTTTTGTTAGCATTTTGTATAGTGAAATATAAAAAAGTAACAAATCAGGACTGAAGGTGTGCCTCAAGCGGTAGAATGACTGCCTAGCAAGTGTGAGACCCTGGGTTCAAACTCCAGTAATGTACAAAAAAAATTAAAAATCAAAGAACGTTTGGACTCCCATAATCTACATAATCCAGAAATATTTACCCTAAAATACATTTCTTAATGACCCATTATAGCTCTATCATCCCTCCCCCATATTCTTTACCATCTCTTACAGTGCTCCCTCCACTCTCTTTGAATTAAAGTTCTAATGGAAAACTGTAAATTCTTTCACTTGGTTTATTACAAAAGGTCCCAATTAGTCTCTATTGTTAATAACTCACATTATCTATGTTCTTAGATATTACCTCCACTAAATAAACATTAATTATAATCTGCCCTTCATACATAATGTTTTCCAAAAAATCAGGAGTATCTGTATTGATGAGTGCCAAAACATGACACTATTGTACAGGAGCTCTCACACCCGTTCAGAAAGGGTGGCTCTGAAGAACTCTGGTGGACCAACACAGGAGGCTGGCAGGGGCTGTGCAGTGTTCCTACAATGGCCATTGCCCTTTTCAGACAGCATTTCTTATAATGCTTACATTCATTTTAAAGCTTGTGGGAAACATATTTTTGTTGAGAAACCAACTCTTTAGGGGAATTCAAAGTGAATGGAACATTTATTTGACTCACTCTTGATCTCATTTTTTGCCTTTTTAAATATGCTCATCAAATAGATTTAATGTTCACATGGACTTTAAATTTAAGCCAAAATTCTAGGCATGGGGCTATTTGTTAAATACTGAATCCTTAGCTCACTTTCACTCTTTGCTCAAGCATGTTGGACTGCCTACACACATGAAGCATGTTCATCTTTTCAACACGTCTGTCATTTTCTTGCCCACTAACTGACGTCCAATTCAGTTAAATGCAAGTTCTTTTTTTATATCTTACAATTTTATTTATTACATTTTTAATTTTTATTTCTTAATAGACTCTTGCTTGAATTTCTGACAGAATTAATTCATTTAGGCTTGGTTGAAAGTCTATTTTAGTTATCTCATATCTGATCTCTTCTTTAACTTATAAACTATTGGCAGAGTGGCTCAAGTTGTAGAGCACCTGCCTTCTCGCAAGCAGAAAGCCCTGAGTTCAAACACCAGTACTGCCAAAAAATGAATGAGGCTCTTTCATCATCATATTCCACATTCTCAAATAGTTTGTTTGTATGAAATTTGGTAAAGTCATAAGCCACTTCTAAAATAGTAATACTTGTTTTATTTCAATTGCTATATTTTTACTCTTGATAAAACTAGACAAAACAAAGCAAAGTAAAACAAAGCAAGTAGAAAATATCTGTATCTCTGGATC